GAACTTTGAACCCCTTGAAATAGCTGCAAAACTTGTGACTTGAACGTGGCCCACCCCAGGTCTCACAGCTCTGTGATGCTCCACTTCAAGTATTTCCTCATCTTCCCATCTGTCAGATACTTGTTCCCATAGACAGTGTAGGGAGAGACAGCTGACCTGACTTGTCTCTCATGGCTTGTTAGATCCCTTTGTTACAAGTTCCTTTCCTTTCTTCCCTGCTAGGTGATGATTGTTGAGAGTGCATCTGGAGCAGTCCAGTGGGACCTGAATCTGAACTCGGGAGCAGAGAGTCCTGAGCCAGCCACACTTTCCACTGCGGATCACCGGTCCACCTTCCTCATCTGGGGGGACTACGAGGAGCCAGGCAATGAGACAGTGAGTCCTGCTGCTGAGGGGTTGCTGTGCTCCAGACATAGAGCCAGAATTGGGTGGAGCTACTCCCTTCTCCCAGATGACATTCTCATCTGTCTGTGCCACTGGCGCTGCAGCCTCCATGCTGGGTGTGGGTCTCTGCTGAAAGCACCCAGAACCCTGTGTGTGATCTGGTCTCTACTGGGTCCTCACAATGTCCATACCAGTGTCTCTGCTAGCAGGTGGTGGCACCAACAGCTTTTGTCATCCTCGGGCTGATTATGTAGAGAAAAGGAACTTGGTGGCTCTATGAGCAAAGTCACTGGGTGCCCAGAGCCCTGCCTTGGTGTGGCACTGTGAGTGAGGTGAGAGGCTGCTGCCCTGGTACCTTTGGAGGTGCTGCTGTTTCTCTGGGAGCCTCCCATGGCAGCACTGCATGCAGTGATCTCCTGTGGCCATGTGAATATCCTCTCTCTGCCCCAGGCAGCCTCTGGCAGCCTCAGTGCACAGCTCAGCTGCTGCAGAGCCCTCCGGGGCAGTGACAGGCAGTGTTGGTGACAGGTTGTGTCTCAGAGGGTGCTGAAGCACAGCTGAGCCTCCTCTGCTTTCCTCGCTCACTCTGCCAGCCCTGAGGTAAAAATCTGTCTCCTGCCTGCAGCAGGCAGGCCAGCTATTTTCAGGAAGCTCGGGGTGAGGAGGAGAGCACTGAGCAGAAAGCAAAATCCCAGCACTAGTTCCTAGTGACATCAGTCATGATGAGTTGGGCTGACATGGACAAGTGTCTGGATGAATCCAGTCCAGCATGAGTAATAGCTGAGCCAGGTGCTGGTGTTGTCTCTGGGATAACGTGTGGGTCTGTGTCCTGATCGTGTCCTGTTGCAGAGATCCACAGCTCCCCTCCAGAAGCTGTACCTCTTCCATCCTTCCTACAATAACGTCCTCTTGGAGCTCCGCAATAACACAGACCAAATAATTGCGTTCAGCGGTAAGTCCTCTCCCTCCAGCCCTCCAACAGGGAGCTGTGGGAGGACACTGGTCCCTCCTGGCCTCCCTGGGTGTGTGATGGTGGGTCTGGTGGCCAGGCTGAGCACGGAGGGCTTAGGCTGGGCGTTCCCTGTGCCTTGCAGCCGCGCTGTTTGAGCGGAGCCGTCACGCCTGCTACGTGCTGCTGAGGGGCCCCCGGCCCGGCCAGGAGCCAGGGCCCGTGTCACTGATGAAGAGGAAGGTGAAGGAGGATGTGTCAGAGAGCAAAGTGATCTGGCTGAACCAGGTGGCTGTGGACAGTGAGGAGTACATCCGAAACCGCCTCTACAGGATGCGATTCCACAGCCGGGACTGAGCCTGCCCAGGGAGGGGGAGAGGCTGCCCGGGGCCAGGCATCTCCAGGCTGCCTCTGCTCTGCAGCCGTGCTCTCAACAAGGCCAGATCATGGATTCAGATGGGAAGCTGCCTTTCTCGACCTGCAAACCAAAGCATGGCTGGCAGGGAAGCGCCCCCAGTGTCTGGGGACACCCAGGCTGTGGGGGCAGCTGCCAGTGCATCCATCCTCAGAGCTGATGGGACTTCAGTGCTTGGCCACCACTGAGGTGTCGTCAGCTCGGGGAAGAGGGCCCTCCCCTCCATCCCTCTGTGCCCGCAGAACTGTGCTGACTCGGGAGTGTGTCTGGAGGAAAACATGTGCTTGCTGGGGATGCTGGAGTGGATGATTTCTGGGGTGTTTGGAGCTCAATGTGTGATTTCCTTTCTGAGTCAGCTCTCCTGGCTGGGGGAGAGGTGCTTGGCTGCAGGTTGGTTTGCAATCACCCTCTCCTGGATTTGGGCCCTGCTTCAGTAGTGGTGGGTGTGTGTAGTGCCAGACCCCCTCCGTGCCTGTCCGTGGGGCTGGGGTCACCTGGGCCAGCAGAGCACAGGTTAAAGTGTTGTTCTACTTAGAAAATGGCCTTTTCTATTAAGAACAGCCCCACATGCCCAACTCTGCAGTCACCAACCTGCCTGTGTCTGTCTCCTCTGCTGCTTCCTTCCCAAGCAGGCTGTGCAGTGTTGGTGACACCAAAAGGGAGCTGGTCTCCATGTTCCTCCCTGCACTCAGTCTCATTATAGGTGATGAGCCCAGGGTGGCTGGTCCCTGGTGGTACCAACATCACCTCTCCTGATTTAAAGGAGCCAGAGGACCTAGGACATTTTTTTTCAGAGTAGAATTGCACTTTAACCTTTCCTGGGAGCTGGGATTGCTGCTCTGGGAAGCCCTGTACCCGAGTGGCAGTGCCAGCTCCCTGCTCATTCAGCCTTGCAGCTGCTGAGGAGCCTTCTCCAAGCACTGTCCCCTCTGCCAGGAGGTGGGCAGGAGCTCCATGCTGCTTCCCTGCCCTTGGAATTGAAGTGATGCTGGGTGGGGATCCTCGGGTGCCTCTCTGCCCAGCCCAGTATCCTGAGGGATGGGACAGGTTGCTGTGAGGAGATGACATGTTCCTCCTGGAGATCTGTGTAGCATCAGGGGGTGTTTGCTCTGCCCTGTCCTGGTGGGTGCCAGTGCAGGCTGTAGAAACAAGGTGCAAAGCCTGGAAAAGGGATTGAACTGCCTGCTCAGTCCTGAAGATAAAAACTAACCCTAAAAATAACCTCTCACAGGCTCTGCCCCCTCTGCCTGGAGGGGGTTTGGCCAGTGCCTCCCTCCCCTGCTGAGTCTCACACTGGGGGATGTGTAGAAACACTGTAGGATGGGAAACAATGCCAGGCTGTGCAGGGTCGGGCACTGGCTCTTCCCTTCAGCTGAGTCTGTGCCACAGGGCAGCTGCTGTCACCAGGCTCTTGGCACAGCTTCAGCCTTCCCAGTCTGAAAGCACGATGACCTGGGCTGCTGGACACACACCTCCTGCTTCCAGCTGGCCTGGTGGCTGCCTAAGGGATGCCCTGGCTCCCTCTGCCCAGTGACCAATATCCCAGGCAGTCAAGGGAGCCAGTCCTGGGGCATCCAGGCTGTGCCAGGGAGCCAGGAATGCTCCCTGGCGAGCACACCACAACCTTCAAAGCACCTTGAGCTCAAAATGGTGAGTTTCCCTCTCTTCCTCTCTTCACAGGCTGTTATCTGAGGGAGTCTGGGGTGGCAGGGATGTTCCCCTGCTGTGTCCCCCAGCCTGGGTTGCCTCTTTGCTCAGCACCTGAGGCCTGGCAGCCCCACAGGTCCCCATGCCAGCATTGCAGCCATAAGAGGCTCCAAGGCCCTTCAGCCACCCGGGGCAGAGCAGGAGTGCAGCTGCAGGTGCTGGGCAGGGGAACCCCAGGCTTGCATATTAGTCCAGCCTCAGTGTTGGATGTGGATTGTATCCCACTGAGATTCCCCTGGCAGGGAGTGGGGTGCCTGGGCTGTATTCTCACCACTCTCTCCCTCCTCTGATCCCTTTCCCATAGGCACACTGAATGTTCCTTCAGGGGAGCTGGATTTTCAGCTTTGGGGAGCTTTTCTGGCTTTAAGTCGTCCATTAATGTTTCCAGGTACTTTGGAAACGCAGATTTCCCTGTGGCAGCTCAACTAAAAGCATCAGTGCCAAACCAGCACCTTCTTAACAAAACCAGTCCTTTCTCCAGCTTATTTTCCTGTGTAATTGTTTTATTTGCATTATTTCCTGAATGACTTCGTGCCTTGATTCAATGACCCAGCTGGGTGGCGGTGGCGTATTATCACTGTGTTCTGTGTTAGCGTGATTTTTAACACTGAGACTGTTTGGTTTGATTCTTTAACTTATTGCAAATTGTGCCGTACAGGACTTGCTCTGACCGGAATGGTTTCAATAAACGCTCTTTTGCATTGTTTGTAAACGGTGCCCTGCTTTGGTGTTGCAGCGGAGGTTACACGAGGACCTCTGGGATTTTGGCAGCCCTTTGGGTGGCTCCTGAAGGCAGAAACACCCTCCTTTTCGGGAGGGATCCAGGTGTCCTGATGATGCTTGGATGGCTGAGGTGCTGCCTGCTGCCTGGCCTCACTGCGGGCAGCGACGGACCAGGAGAAGGGAGTGTGTGGAGGGAGGCTGGAGTTAGATAACCAGGCTGGGCCAGCCCATCCCTGCCCCCCACCCGGGGCTCCGTGACCTGGTTTTACACCCCAGTTTCCTGGTGCAGTCCATCAGCAGGAAAATCTCATGCCGGGGCTTGGATTTGGATCAAGCCGGAGGGAGACGCGTGGCAGGCGCTGTCTCCGGGCGTGTGGGACCATCTGTCGCTGCCCGGTGCCTGCCAGCCCAGGGCCCCCAGCCCCATCCTGTGACCGAGGCTCCAGCAGCTTCCACTGCCCCCAGGCTCCTCTGTCTGCCCCAGCACTGAGCTCAGGATGCCCCCTGCTCCATGCCAGGGATCCCGGGCTCTGTGGCAGGGAAGGATACGAAATGCCCAGCATTCCAGGGACCACGGTGTTTGTTAGCCGGGATATGGGCTGGGAACACCCCCAGCCTGCTCCTCTCTGTGGGTCCCTGGGTGCGTGTGGAGCGGGGTGAGCTCCAAGGGTGAGCACTGGTGGGCACCAACCCCCCTCTCCTTTATGTAACCACCACTGATAATCCCCCACAGCTGGGGCTCGGCTCCCAGGAAGGGAATAATCCTGCCGTGAGATCCTCGCCCTCTGCTCAGATTATCAGTCCAGGGGCAGGGAGAGTGGCTCAGCTGGCCAGCCCTTTGCTCCCTGCCAGCCCACAGGGCCCTGGCAGCCCGGGTTTGCTGGCCCCTGGCATCTCCAACCCTGTTCCCAAGATGGTCCTCCTGACCTGGGGTCTGCACTTGCTGGGTGCTGCAGGCACGGGAGGGGGTTGCTGCCAGCACGGGGGTACAGGACACAGTCCAGCCTGGAGAGGTGGCCAGCACCTTGTGCACCTCAGACCCTGCTATGGCCTCCCTTGTCCCCCTTCCCCAAAAACCAGGGGAGCCTCAGTGTTCCCCCATGGAGGCTTTATTGTCCTGTGCCCGGGGTGGGGGGAAGAGGAGGGGGTGACCCCGCACCAGGCCGGCTGGGTGCGGGTTCCCCGAGGGAGGGGAGGGTGTGGGGATGTGAGCGGGGGCTGCAGCGGGGCCAGCCTGGCCCCGGGGGGTTGCTGGGCAGGATATGGCTTTCTCTCCTCAGTGCTACTGCCGGCAAGGGTCCCTGCGGCGGGGCTGGGGTGTGCTGGGTCAGGGGGTGCTCTCATGTCCCCGCGGGGGGGGCTGCAAGCCCCCTCCAGCTCTCCCCGTTCCTCGGGGACGGGGGCAGTCGAGGGGCTCCTGCCCCTCTCCTCGGCATCGCCCGCGGGCAGGAGCAGGGCCGGGCTGGGGCTGGAGTGCCGCTGTTTGCGCATGAAGGGGAAGACCCTGCGGGCAGAGCGGGGTCAGAACCAAGGAGGGATCACCCAGCGCCCCAAGGGGGACGGTCCCAGCCCTCACCGCTTCTTGGTCTCCGGGGGGATGATGGCTTCGGCCAAGAGGTTTTTGTAGAGGTCCGACTTGAGGAACCGCGGGTAGGAGTCCTGGGCGAGCAGAGGCGTCAGGATCCTGCCCAGCCCTGCCCACCCAAGCCCTGCCCTCACCCACCTTCTTCATCAGCATGTAAATGTGCATCTGGGCGTCGTCCATCACGTATCGATGGGGCGTCTTGATGCCCTCCAGCGTCCGCTCCATCGTCTTGCTGTCGATGTTCACCCAGCGCGTGGCCCCGGGAGCCAGGAATTGTCTGGGAAATCACAAACAGTGCTGAGCCCGGCCCCGCAGTGGGACCCTCCCCCAAACCTTGCCCCCCAAACCCTGGCCCCGCTGGCACTCACTGGTAGATGGAGTCCACGATCTCCGCGATGCGGGACTGCTCCCCGTAGCGCAGCTCCTCACACGCCTCCCAGAAGCTCAGGTTCTCGGCTGGGGAGGGGCATGTGGCACTGGGCACCCCCATGGGCAACCCCCCAAGGCCATTGTGGCTGGGCATGTGGCCCTGCAGCCCCCCTGGGATGGAGCCAGCTGGGATGGTGTGGGGCAGTGGGTCCAGGGGAGCTGGGGCAGGTTAGTCAGGAGGCACTGGGATGGGGTGGTAGATTTGGAATGCCAGCATGGGGAGGTGGGTTGTGTGATGCCAGGACAAGGCCATGGGTTGGTTTGGTGGTGTTGGGATTGGCCAGTGGATTAAGGACTACTGGGACACCATGGTGGGTTTGAGGTGCTGGGATGGAGTGAGGGGTCTGGGGGTGCCAGGACACAGCAGTGGGTTTGAGGGTGTGGGGCTGGGGCCGCTCACCACTGAACTCCTTCTTGAGGAATTCGAGGAGCTGTGCCCGGCCCAGGGGATCCATGATGAGCTCGCTGAAGTTAAAGCCCCAGCGCTCCACACGCAGTTTCGTGGGGGTCGTCACCCTGCAGGCAGCACCAGCACTGGGGCTGGCAGCCCATGGCTGCCTGTGTGACCCCACACCCCGTCCTTGGGTCGGGGTACTGGGGGGTGTGGGGCAAGGGTGCTTACGTGGGGGCGTTCATGGCCCAGTACGTGGTGTCGTCCGTGATCCAGGGGTTGCTGGGCAGGCAGCCGGACATGATGGGGTCGTGGGGCACGTACTGCTCGTTGAACTTGATGTACCTGCCGGGAGCGGTGGCTGGAGGTGGCCAGGGCCACCGACCCCAGGCACTGCGGGGACCCCACGGGGATGTGGTGGGGACATGCCCGGGCTCTGCAGAGCCTCAGCTCCACTCCCTGCTGAGGGTTACGGTGCTGTGGTGCTGCTGCCTGCCAGCTGCAGCAATGTGGGTGCCCCTCTCACCCCAACAGGGACCTGGCCTGAGGCCGGGACAGCCACTGCCACTCACCCCTCGAGGCAGATGGAGGACTTCACCCTGGTCCTGGCCATGGCCTTCCTGCAGTACTCAATCTGGGACCAGATGCAGGGGAGATATTGGGGTGCCCGGCAGCCCGTGACCCCAGGAGCCACCCCCAGCCCTTGCCCTACTCACCTCCCGCTTGTAGTAATCCATGTTCTTGGTCTGCAAGAGACAGGCAGGGCTGGGTGAGGGCAGGGCAGGGCCAGGACATGGTGTCCTGCCATCACCACCCTGGCAATCCAGGCATCCAGTCCCCCACCCCAGGACCCTGTAGCCCATCCCCGTGGCCTCCAGTCTCATCCCCTCAGCCCTCCTGGCTCAGCCAGCACAGCCCATGGGGTGTGACCCCCCACCCCAGTGTGACACCAGCCCTAGGTTAGTGACACTTACGTGGGCAGAGGACACGGTGCACGGCGCAGAGAAGAGAAAGTGGGTGGTTAGTGAGGACAGACTGGGGGTACTGGGGCAGCATTAGTGGGGTCACGACACAGGGAGGGTTAGAGTTAGGGTTAGGGCTCCTGGCAAGGCAGTGCCCTGCAGGGATTAGAAGTGCTGGCAGAGGGGGATGGTGGGTACATGGACAAACACACAGACCCCCCGGCTCAGCAGGGGCAGGGCACAGGGTGGACACACAGATGTTAGCAGAGCTGGGGCTCACCACCCCCCTCCCTCCCCAAATGTGGACAGAGCCTGTGGTGGGATGGATGGGCACCCACTGGGGCAGCTGAACACTCTGTCACAGGCACATGGCTGTGCCCTTTGCCCACTGGCAGCCCCAGGGGTGCCTGGACCCCTCCACTCACCAGCTGGACACGGGTGGTGTGGCAGTTCCTGCGCTCGGGGCCCTGCTCCAGCACATTGGGGGCTCCCGGCTGCAAAAAGAGCATCGTGATGGAGGCTGGGGGACCCTCTGCGCCCCC